AAAAGAATCAAAATTTGAGTAGTTAGTATATGCTATAATTAATTAAAACTCCCAAAAAGAAGACTTTAATTTTGCCACAAATACCAAACACTAACTTTAGCCAAATTTCACTAGGTAATAGCAAAATATTTCATTTTTCTTACATTAAAAAATACCATATATAAGTGAGTTGTGTGTGTTAAGGGCGACGATTAGTACCGTGCTGATAGCACATTATTAACTAAAAAAAAAATATTATATTACTAAAAAACAAGATTTATATTAATATAATATAAATACATTACATCACTTAGTATATATGACATATTTCTAGATAGTACATGACATACTTTCATATAATAGTACATTTTAAATATGAACAATTTGCAAATGTTCTTGTTCCACAAACCATGTGCTATTTGCACTAAAAACACATGCTATATGCACTTTTATTTGTACTGTTTTGAAAATTTGATTATTCCAAATCAATACTGGAAATTTCCTTAAATTATTTTGGCATATGAATTAATGGTGTCTTAATTTCTGCAGCAAAAATTTTTCTAAAGAAAAAAAAGAGATATTTGAGAAAAGATTAAAATATGGAAATTCACTCCTTCCATTTCGGTGCAAAGTGAAATTAATATGGAATCTTTTATTTCAGGAATGTGAGTGATTTACTCAACCGGATAAGGTTGAAGATTGGTGATGAGTGATTTGGAGATCATACTTTAGAAAGAAAAATATTGAGTGAAGCTCTCAACCCTCTATCCATATCGATTCTCCTCAGTTTGAATGAGTTTTTGACACAAAAATCCGCCGGAGAGGTTGACGGTGATCAGAGTTAAAGGAGTTGCAACCGGAGAGGATGATTAAACTCTAAGAGGCTTTGTTATATGGTCGTTGTCCGTACACGTTTGTGACAACGTGAACCCGTGGAAGTATTTTCCAAGGTAAACTATGATAGGAGTTTGAGTTGAAGGAGTTGTAATTGTTTATACTCTGTAATTAACACTGATTAGTAGAATATCTTATGGATTGGAATCCGGTGTAGATTGGTTGATAATCGAACCGGGTCAACAAACATCTTATCTCATGTGTTGTTTTGTGTTCTATTTTGTTATTTGTTGTTAAGTCGTTGTTTTAATTGTAAACCGTCTACGCTTCGGGAGTTGACCCTTTGTTGATATCGGAAGGAGATTTGTTCGATATATCACTTTCCAACAAATATCTTAACGTGTATAAAGTGAAGCATATATTTTTTTTATTTATATTATCAACTTATTTTGAAAAAAATTTATTCATTTTTTCTATATAGCCATTTTTGTTTCTAGTTGATCTTGTTTATTTGGTTCTAATTATTAAAAGAAATTGATTATTTATGTTTCTTATTTATTTTGTCAATTCTATATTTGATCTTTTATTTTTAAATTGATATTTTTGGTGTCATTCATTTTTTTTTTCAAGTTTGTTTTAAATCTTATTTCAATTGTGTTAAAAAAATAAAATAAAACAAATATTAATAATTTGTTTTAAAGATAAATGGATCAAATTAAGGGTGTGTTCGTTTGTAGGATTTTAACAAAATCCTACTATTCATTCAAAATTTTTCCCCCAAAAATATCAAATCAAACACTTGTTTTTTATTTTTTATATTATACTAAAAATTAATTTTACATTCAAAACATCGCATCAACACCTGTTTATATCAGATCATACAACTATTCAAATTCAAAATTTTTACTATTCAAATCCCAATTCAAAATGCAAACCCTCGTACAAACACACCCTTAAGTCAAAAATTAATCTAAAAAGATTGATTGAAGCTTGACATTATCAACTTACAAATAAAAGAATAAAAACTTAATTAACATATATATATATATATATAAATATAATCAACAAGAGCAAGAGATTTTGAGCAACTTATTTAATCCATATTATGCATCAAAGATCTCTCTATTTTTAATGTGATACTTTTAGATTATTATTATTATTATTATTATTATTATTGTACATTTTATTGGTTCAATTATGAGCTTCACTACAAAGTCATCATACACGGTTAATTAAATAATTCTTTTTATCTGCAATAAAAAAAATTAAAGTAATAGATTATAAAGAATTGTCTCACAAGAACTTACGTAAACATGATAGAAATTCTTTCATATTCAGTTAAATTAATTTAAAGTAAAAATGAAGAATAAAATTAAATTAACTAAAATACTAGAAAATAACTAAAGTTTTAGAATTTTAAAAATTAGAATGGAATTTGAATATATATATATATATATAATAAAGTCTAGTCCAAGAAATGATTTCGAAACCAGATTTGAACTGAACTATTGATTTAACCAAAAATAATTATTATAATTATTAATAAACTAGTTATATAGACATCAACAAGTTCTGACATCTCATTTTTTGATTATATAGACAATTGAGGTACCATTAATTGACTCTAATTAGGTTAACAACTCCAAGTATGACTCTAGAAATAAATTGTTTAATTGCATTATGATCTAAAACAAATGATTTTAATCTCTGTTACATATAAAAAGCAGTTAAAATTCGATTTCATAATTATATTGAAAAGTATTAAATACGGGTATCACTTATTCAAATAAAAATACAATTATAAATTTCTTATTGGAGTTGGCATTCAACTATTGAATTAATTGAAATATATGATTTAAATACCTATTCAATTCAATAACCATACACAATAAATTCAAAAATTATACAAATACCTTTCGGGTAGCAGCTGCGGGTTCTAACTGTCGTAAAAAAAAAAAAAAATTATACAAATACTCATTATTAAAAAAAACTAAAACTAAAACTTATACAAATACTAATACTTAATAAGTATTTAATATATATCCGAAAATCACATACAATATAAATTTCAATTTTAATCAATACTTGACTTAGAAAAGGGATATATTCCATATTCATAAAAATGAAGTAACCAAATATATATATATATATATATATAAACGACATGAGAAAAATTTATCATCGTCGCCTACTTGCTGTCGAATGGCTCTTGCGTTTTTGAAATGACTTTTGAACTATATTTTGCAGTTCTATTTCCTATCTTACACCTTAGACGTATCATCCCTAATTTTTGTGTTAAATTAATTTTTAAATTTTTATCGTATAATTTCAAAAACACAATTGAATTTAGAATTCAATTAAGCTCAAAGTAGACACATGTATCTTCCTTAGTCATGATCATGATTAATAATATGGACTTTTCCGATTATATTTTTGCAATTATTGTTATTTTACATCAAATTTGTAAATTAACTCGTCGACATATAAAATATATCGAATATACACAAATTTAGTACAATTCATACCAAATCAAGTCAATTTCTCCAAAACTATTAACACATAAAATGCAATAACATAGAAGCTATCAGTCACTACATGGCATCTCTAAGTTATTTTAAAATATAGTTTGTTTAGTTTATGCTTTAAACTATCTTTTTATTATATAATGTGACTATATTATGATAAAAAAGTATATTAATTTTTCAGTAAAATATAATTTAAAATAAAATATAATAATTATATATAAAAAATATTGAATATTATATTTCATTTTCAATATAATAAAAATAAAAACTTACATAACACAAACCAAATACATCCAAATTTGTTTAAAAAATGAGTATATTAAATACTCCCTCCGTCCCGATGCAAGATTGCCGTTTATTTTTTGCACGTAGATTTTGAATATTAATATTATAATGAGTTATAATAAAAAGACGAAAATACTCCTATTAGTATTGTGTAATATAAAAGTAATGACATTTGTGTAATGTAGTATAAATTTGAAAGATATTTATTATGTTAGGAAGATAGTATAATTCTTAAATTAGGAAATGATAACCTTATTTTGAGACGGATAAAAATAGAAAGTGACAACTTTTCAATGGGACGGAAGGAGTATCAAAATTAAACTAGCAAAATAAAACTAGGCATCAAAATCATCAAATTAAAAGACAAATTCTAACATATATTTCCTGTCATAAAAAATAAAATATCTTCTTTTGTTTTTATTGTTATCTAAAAATATTTTTTTTATATCTCTCTTTATTTTTAAAGTAAAAATATCTATACTTTTTATTTTATTTTTTTACTATTTTTAGTATATGAGATTAGCATTATCAATTATCATCCATCCTTCTCAAAATCTGCACTATGAAGACGGAGTGAATAGATAGTGTTTTTGTTTTGTGAGATAATTTAAAGGAATATTTTTATGTAAAATATAAAAATTTGTAGAGAAAATATAAAAATAATAAATATAAATATAATATATTAATATTTTTTAGAAAATATGTATAATTTTTTTGTTAAAAGATTATAAGAATTTGAAAAGTAAAATGTGTTTGATTTGTATTTTAATTTTAATATTGATTTAAAGTTATTTGATAAATGGTTTTATTAGAAAAAATATATTCCCTCCGTCCCAAATACCGTTATACTCTAAACACGGTATTTTAGAAGGAGTGTAATTAGTAGATAATTAAGAATATATTAGTGAAAATAATTATCTTATAATATAAATAATTATAAATTAAGATTAAGATAACTAATTAGTTTAATTAAAATTAAAAAAAATTAAAAAATTTAAAATGAGATTAAAGTGTGTAATCATTTTCCAATAAAGGAAAGTGACATGGTACGTGGGACGGATAGAAACGGCAACATGAACATGGTATATGGGAAGGAGGGAGTATTTTTTAAAAATAAATATAGTAGTATAATGAAAAAAAATGAAAAAAATATAATAAAAATAGTGATAAAAAATAATTTTTTCACTTTTTTTAATATAGTAAGAAGTGATTTTAATTTTAAATAAATAAACTTAATGGACGAAAAAATATATATATATATATAATTTAAATAAAAATTAAAATGTATTATTTTTTTTTTTTTACTTTACACGTGTAAGCGTGTGTATATATATATATATATATTCTCTTGTTCCCGCTTCCCTTGCAATCATTAATTTGTTCTTGAGAGCTTCAAGTTCCTCTCCAATGGCGTCCTCCGGCAGCAACCACAACCCTAGCCGCCCTTTTTTTCCGCCGGCATTCCACTCTTCCGACGTAGCCACCTCCGTCCCCAACACCACCTTCGTGCAGGCCGATCCCTCCACCTTCCGCGCCGTCGTCCAGCGCCTGACCGGCGCGTCTCCGGCGAAGGCCGCCGCCGCGAAATCCTCGGAGATCGGTCCTCGTAGGCCGGCGTTCAAGCTCCACGAGCGGAGACCGACCGCCAGGAAGCTGGAGATCAAGCTCGGCGGCGGAGCGTTGGCGCGCGTGGCCGGAGAAAGCACAGCGTCGCCGGTGTCGCCGCTGGAGTACCTGGCGGCGCGTGGCAGCCCACGCACGCCGATGGAGGAAGAGGAACGCGCGATTGCCGAGAAAGGATTCTATTTGCACCCGAGCCCGTTAAGCACTCCGGTAGGATCCGACCCGCCGGAGCTCCTGCCTTTGTTCCCTCTGCATTCTCCGATGGCTCACGACGGCGACGGCGATCATGATAGTCATCATCGATACAATAATATTTTTATCAATAAGAATTTTTAATTTCTATATATGTTAATTAATTTATTTATTAATTCTACCTTTTTTTTTTTTGTATGTAGATTGTAGGAGAGTAGAGGTATTATTAGTGGTTATTATTATTATTATTATTATTATTATTAATTGAGTTTATTGTAGTAATATGATTTTAATTTTTAAAATTTTGTTTGTTTGGTTTGTTCATAAATACTGTTTTTTATATGATTTTTAATGAATATTAATAAAAAAAAATTAACAATTCAACATAAATTATTATCTTTTAGATTATTGACATAATTTTTCTTATTTTATATTAGAAATATATATATATATAATTCAAACTAAAATACGAACCAAACACATTACCTTTATTTTTAATTTTTTTTTTAACCAATTAGATTATATATACATTTTAAAAAATGAATTCAACATATATATATATATATATTACATTCAATTTTTAAATTTTATGTGTTGTGAAGGAAGCCAAGTCTCCTGTTGAAAATTACACACCTTATAAGTCTCAAATGAATTATACTACTACGAGATGTTTTAAAGCAAGTCCAAAAATAAATTCGTGCACATTATGCTATAAAATATTGCATCATATATTGATATATTATTGCTAAAATAGCCATTTGTATTTAATAAAATTCATCTTAATAGAACCTTTGTTCAATCAATTTTAGTAATAAATATGTAGATTATCTATTGGGTCAGTGAATGAACTCCAGAATAGCTGAACACATAATACACTTGTGTTTTTAACATAAATAAATAAAATAATTTACATAAACTTTCTCTATATAATAATAATAATAATTTAATTTTTTTTATTGGGCCAATCAAATTCACAAATTCCTTGTATTTTTTTTTGTTCAACTCAATTCACATGATTCAATTTGTGTATATAAAAATAAAATAAAATAAAATAAATAGATAAGTATTGTTAGTTGTTACATTAATTATTGAGAATTTCCATAAAAATAAATAATGTTGAAGGTAATAATAACTGTACCTTAGTCATAATCTTCAATAACTTCTCCATTAGGTATGAGCTACACATGTCCTCTAAAAGTTGAATTTATTTCAAAATATTTATATATATATATATATATATATATATACACACTGGTATTGAATTTCCAAGATTTTCACCTACATTAAATAAAATATTCAATTTGGCAAATAACTGAAGCCACTTTATTCAGAAAAAAAATAATTATAATAAAAATGAAGAATACAAAAATTGAACAAAAAGTGACAAAAGATATGAAAATGAGTCAACCAACAATAAATAAATTCATGAAATTGAATCGAAAGCAGCAATCACATGAGATATTAATACAACAGCAGAAGCAAATATAGACACACACACACACATATACATATATATATATATATTTATTTATTCATTTATTTTTTGAAATTATCAACGGCTAGGATTCGTCCCTTGCTAACAATCAGTGAGAGATAAATTATTCCTTCAAAATTTGAAAATTTGAAATTCTTAGCAGCAATTAAAATTCAGACACTTATCTTATGAATCTGCTTGCACTCAACTCCATGCCCATGCCCTGATTCATTGGCTGTCTTTTATTATTATTATTATTATTATTATTATTATTATTATTATTGTATTATTTTATTTTAAATTTTTGTAATTTTATTGTTAATATATATATATATAAGTGTTTTTTTAGTATCCTATCTTTAACTTTTATCATTTTAGTACAGTAATTAAGGGTATATTTTTTTTACACCAAATCGCAAATTTTTATTATTTGGATTATGTGGTTTTTGAAAAATATATACTTTTTTCTCTTACAAAATATTTCATCATATATTATTTTAATATTAAATTCAAACTAAAATTTTCTCAAACTCATTTAAAGAAACATACTACTAAATTTTTTTATCATTTTAATATCGTAGCTGGAGGCGATTTTAAAATAGTCTCGTAAGTAAAAAATTTCGCACATTTAATTCTCTGACGTCGGAGGAATAAATTTGCAAAATATGTTTACTTACAAAATTGTTTTAAAACAATATTTAGTTACGAGATTAATAATAAAGAGGATTTAGTTATAAAACTAAAACAACAATACCCTATATATATAATAGTATAAAAATAATGGTGAATGTGTAATGTGTAATGTTTGTATATAAAATTAATTATTGAATACGATATATTTCAAGAGAAAATAGAAAGTTGAATAATAAAGAATATAAGGAAAAAAAAAACATAAAGAGTGTGTTTGTTTGTGGACTTGGGATTTTGGGTTCGGATTTTTAAATAGTAAAAAGTTAAATTTGAATAGTTGATTTATGTAATATAAATAGATGTTGATGTGATGTTTTGAATGTAAAATAAATTTATACTATAATATATAAAAAGAAAAGTGATTATTTGATATAATATTTTTTAAGGGAAAAAAGAATTTTAATAGTAAAAATTTGTGTTAAAATCCACAAAAGAACACAACCAAAAGAGCAAATCCGGTGTTTTTATTTTTTCATTCTTTTAAACAACAATATTGAACACACTGGTGTGTTTTTTTTTTTAAAAAAAAATCACATACTTTTCCAAAAAAAAATTAATATATTTATATATTCATTATTTTTATATTTTATATGTATTTTTTGATACTTTATATTAAAAATATATATATATATTCGTTTAAACTGTTTTACAAAATAAACAAACTCTTTGTAGTTTGTCTAGGACTATATTTATGTAGTTCAATATATGTATTTAAGGGTGCATTTTTTCGATTTTCTTTTCTACTTTTTAATTCGTCCGTTTGTCAAATTTATTTGTACTTTTTTTTCTGATTATTAATTAAATATATTTTATTACTATATTTAAAAAAGTAAAATAATAATATTTTATTATTTTTCTTTATTCTAACAATTATTTACAATAAATATCACTAATTTTATTACATTACTTTCTTTCATTTTTTAGTTACTAGCTAAAATTTAAAAAATACTCTCAACTACTTTTTATCTTTTATTTTTTACTTTTTAATAGAATATTTATATATTTTTTTAATTATGGTACGTACCCATATAAAGATGGTGGATGAATGGAGTACTATTTAGACTTTGGAACTATACTATCATTTGACATTTTTCCCCTATAGTTAAATACATTAACATTGTAGGACTTCAATAATTTAATATAATAATTAAGACTTTGTTTATACAAATATATATATAATATTTGGCAATATTTTTTTTTTTGTTAAAAAAAATCATATAATAATACCACTCAATAATAAAATTTCACTATTTTTTTTAACAAATATTGTAAACTCTTGTTATATTTAAAAATACTCAATAATAATAATAATAATAATAATAATAATGACAAAGACAAGAGAGGGAGATCTGAGTTCCATTGCTTACAAGTTACAAGACAATAAAGTGGCTGCAAGAAGAAAAAAAAAAGTTCACTAGATTCTATCTGGATGATTGTGACAACTAATTTCGATTTTTTATTTATATGTTTCATTAGTCTCATTTTAAATAATACTCACTCGTTTCCAAAACTATACTTTGAGTTGTGTTCAACACGAAATTTAAGAAATATTGATATTATATTAGTAGTGGACAAAAAGTACGGATAAAAGATTTTTTTGCCCTTGTGAGTGTATTAGTGTAAAAAATAGTGGCAATTGTGTAATAATAATGAAAAAGCAAGGATAGTTATACAGTAATATTATTATTTATGAAAATAAAACTATTGTTTTGAGACGGACAAAAATGATAAATAAGATTATTGTATTAGAACGAAAGGAGTACATTTTATTAGGAATACTATATTTAATTTAATAATATTTAATTAATTAATAATAATTAATTACGATATTATATAAAAAGTTTTGATAGTAACCTTCTGTTTCACCTTACTTGTCTACTATTTTTTCTAAGAATACGATATTTAATTTAATAATAATAGTAAATTGCTATATTATATAAGTTTTATTAAATATAAAAAGGTACCATTTGCTGTGAAATTGATTAAAATGGAAATGATATCGTTTGTTAGGAACAAAACAAATATATTATATTTCGTCCGTTCTATTGGAATTGATCTTTTTTTATTAGGGACACAGTATTTAAGGTAAGAATGTTTAATTAGTTAATAATAATAAGTTATGATATTATTATATTATTTTTTATGTAATTAATAATATTTATAATTTTAAAGTAAATCTAATATATATAATTAAAAAAATTAAAATATAAGTTTAAATATTTAAAAATTATATAGCAATTAAAAATTATATGCAATATAGATATTATTTTGTAGAGAATAAATTTTTTTATAATACAAAGTAAATAAAAAATATTGATAAAAATAATTTTTATTTATAATTAATATAAATCAATTTTATAAAAGATGCGTAGTTTTAAATATTGATAAAAATATTTATTTTTTTAGGAGAGAAATAAAAATAAATGGAATTTGAGTAGGTCCTATTCCATTTATGATATTGTATGTTATGTTGTTAATTAAGTTGATTTATATTTTTTAAATATATTTTGATTTAATAATTTTTACTAAAAATAGAAATGTATCAATTGTTACGGATAAACAAAAATGAAAATAGTGTCAATTGTAGTAGTACGGATGCAATATTATTTTTCCATCAAATACTCTATCTCATCAAAAAAATAAACTCATTTTTTTATTTATTATAAAAAAAATAAATTATTTGTTTTCTTACACAAATTTATACTCCCTCAATCCCATTAAAAGATTGTCATTTTTCATTTTCGTCCGTCCCAAAACAAGGTTACTATTTCCTATTTTAGTAATTGTACTACCTACCTAACATAATAAATACCCTTCCAACTTCCACTATATTACACAAATGCCATTACTTTTATATTACACAATACTAATAGAAGTATTTTTGTCTTTTCCACTATAATCCATTATAATACTAATATTAAAAAATCTACGTACAAAAAGTAAACGAAAACCTTGTTTCGAGACAGATGAAGTATTACTTTTATATTTTTTTCACGGTAAAAAAATACAAAAATACACACCACATTAAAACTCTTGTCAAATACTAATACATGAGCTTATTATTTTTTATAAAGAAGAAAATATAATTTATTTTAGTTGGGCATGAATTTTAAGAAATATAATATTATATTCATTAATTATTACATAAATTAAAATTGTTTTAAGAAAATATAAGTGAATTGATTAATTGAATTTTATTTTATTTTTTTGAATAAATTGAATATGTGAATAATTTTGACATATTTACAGTTAAGTGTAATGTTGTAGAATGTGGACTGCCTGATAATTATTTTATATATAAATGAAAATTTATAATTTATGGACAAACAATAAAGATTGACCATAGAGAAAATATTTATTTATAAAATTATAGTTTGGTTAATTAAGAAAAATATTTTATGGCCTTACGACGCAATTATATAATTAAAGATGATAATTAAGTTGGTAGGACACCTTATTGATTGTATAAATTTCTGAAATACTTCTTCTTTTTTTCAAAATTAATTTATGTATATTCCATTTGTTCACAATCTATTCCTTCATTTTATTTTTTTTAATTTAGTAAATTGTAAAAATATCTTTACATGTCAGTTAAAATTACCAACACAATACTAATTTATTTTACAATATATCAGTTGTAATCATAAATTTATTTTAGAAAATATACATTCATATGCATTGTTTATCACACATGAATTATTATTATTATTATTATTATTATTATTATTATTATTATTATTATTATTATGTAATGGATACATACAAAATGGCTAGAAGGAACAATATAAGAATTTTAGGTTGATACATATGGTAAAACAATTCATTTTTGCATGAAACTCTAATGTGTGCATATATATATATATATATATATATGCTTCATCTGTCCGTGATGTTTATGCCATTTTTCTTGAGTACGAAAATTAAAAAATAATAATATTTTAAATATAAAAGTGAAATAAATAAAAAATAAAATGAATTTATTATAGAAGAAAATTATAAAAAAATTGATGTAAAAAAATGATGATAAATTAGTTATTATTTGTTAAAATAGAAATAATAAAATTTAAATAAATAATATTATTTTTCTATAAATGGATTGCTCATAAGTTTAAACTCATTAACAAAAAAATCTAACATAATTATAGTCGGACAGATGGAGTACTAAATATGTTCTCAATATTTCTCTACGGTGTTGTTTTTTTTCCAATTTTTTATTACATACTCACCGAAGATTCTTTATAAAAATATATTATTTATTTCACAAAACATCAAATTCAATCCCCTATTTTATAAAAAAGAAAAAAGCAAACAAACTCTAGAGTTTTTTTCCTTTTAAGATATTTATTGGTATTCCTATGATTCTTTATTAAAAAGAAAAATTATTTCATTTTATAAAATATTATGCTATTGATACATGAGTTATTGACAAATAACATATGAAGTTTAAATAGACAATTAATATTACACATTAAACCAATACAAATGCAAGTATGTGAACTACACTAGCCACTAGCCACTAGCCAGTCCCGACATATTATATTACATTATTGTTTAACTACAAAATATAAATATAGATGCAAAAGAAAAAAAAAAAAAACAAACAAAATATATTTATCTACAAATAATATATCATCTCAACATTAAAAATCTTCCATTTAAGAACATCCTTGCTTATGTAAGATGCTATTTAATTTTTTTTATTTATACTAATAGAAATATAGTATTTAAAGTAATTGAACACCTATATATATAGTATTATTAATGTTATTATTGTTGTTATCATAAGATTTTTTTTATAATAATTGTCACATAATTGTTCTTTATTTCTTTACTTATTCATTTGTTATTATTCTATCTATTTTTAGAAATAAAAAATATTAAATATAAAAATTCACACGAGTGAGCAGAGTCGATTTGTCATTTGTGTCTACATATATATTAGTGAAAAAATAAAGTATCTAATTCTTTTGACATACTGAATTTATTAAGTGGTAAATGTCGAATTTATTGAAAATTTCAATATATTTTGATATGGTATTAGTGTACAATTTCTAAATATTCGGTTTAATATCAAAAGATTTCCAGCAATGCCGAAATGTTTTCATTATACCGAATGTTTTTTTGATGATATGGTTATAAAATTTTGACATACCAAAATATTTGTACATTACCTATATAGAATTTTATAGACCAAAAAGTTTGATACAATCTATAGACAAAATTATTTATAATTTAATTGTAATTTAGAAAGCTTACACTATAAAAATTGCACGAGACTTGTCTGCGTTTTCGAAAAAGAATTTAATATAATACTCCCTCCGTCTTATCTTTTGTGTCCGGTTTACTCTATATATATATATATGAATAGGTAAAGTATAATTAATAAATAATTAAGAAGCAAAACTTAGCTTTAATTATTCAAACCGATTGAAAGACTATATAATGTGTAATTAATATCATTTTTCTACTAGTCTAAGCTTTTAAGTCAGATTATCAGTTATTCGGTAAGGTAATAACATTGCTAATAAGTCTAACAGCCCGAGACATTTTAGATTAGAGATAAGAGTTAAACTTTTCATTCTAAGACATCACAAATGTAACAAAAATTCTACCCTACCCTTAATTTTCGACTCGTAAAATCTTTCTAAAACACGAGCACGAGCACGAGCACGCACACGCACGGTTTCAGACAAAGCAAGACAAGGCAATGAAGATCACATGGTGCACTAAGTTTTGGCAGTTTCAATAGTGTTCATATCTCAACTCTGGGTACCTTTTTCAGACTATGATTGGTGTACTTTAAGCCATTTTCTGTTTGTAAAGAGAATACTATATAATGTATTACCAAACAACCATGTAAAAAAAACAAGATGGAATCTTGGAACTTACTTCTAGTGTAGTCCAGTGTATCTTTCAGAGATCTTTCCGTAGATTTGATCTTAGTTATCGCCACTTAGCTTGCTTTGTCACTGCTCATGGCCTTTGTGTTCGTCGTCTAGTCGTCTAGTGCACCTGCATAGAGGTAGAGATAGAGATATAATCGTAGTTAAACGAACAAGAATACAAGAAGCATTTCTAACTCACTGTTCGTCCATTGACTGACTTCTGCTTGTTGGGAGGAGACTGCATACCTGTTTTTCCAATGTAGTTAGGAGTAACAAATCGAACAATGTAGAGAACTGCGAGAAATTCAATATGTTCGTCACAAACATGCATTTATTCAATGATTCTGCTAGCGCAAAAAAGAGAATGCAGTTTGAGCAATCCTTTCATCAAGTTAGACAGGAAATAGTAGCGCATGAACATAAAAACTTCCAACGAAAAAGAATCAAGAAATTTGTACAGCATTAAAACCAAAATCTTTGGGTCGAAAAAACCATTGGCATGCATCAACTCCTCCAGCTTCACATCTAAGCAACTGATCGAATCCTCATGATTGAGATCAGTAAAAATTCGGCCCAGCTATCCTCTCTTCATCAGCAGATTATTAAGTACATATCGATTGCTGACTGTATAGGCCATTCACACCGTCAGCAAATTGCTGCTTGTTTCTTTTCCGCTTTGTAACAAGCACAAATCCTTCACCATCTCCGGTTTTACTTTTATCCATGTCTCCCGTCTTCGGGTTACCCTTACTATCATCATCCCCAGGAAGAATCTTAACAGTTGAGCCGTCATTTGCTATTGCTTCTGCAGAATTGGTCGAAAATGCAGTCTCCTTGTCGCTGCCTGGAGCCATGGGAGAAGGTGGACGACGTGAAGTGCTTCGAACAGATTTTACTATGAAGCTGAGCAGTATCTGCCTGGCCAGTTCTGCTTTTGCAGTGTCAGCACGGTTTTTCTTAGATCTCTCACCTCTAGCACCAGTTTTAACTTTTCCACCGAGCTTTCCGGTTCCAGAATCTGTAGAAGCCGCATTATTAGAATCAGTAGAAGAATCAGAATCAGTAGTGAGCGTTGAGTCTTCAGCGGCTGCATTCGTTTGCTGTGCGCTTCTTGGAACGAATTCAGGCGCATGTGGATTCATCGTCTTTGGAAAAGCAAAACCATTTCCTTCAGAACCTGGAATTTGGTAATTCAGAAACCCCGGTCGAAAACTATGACTTGCTCTGTAGTACACAAATGATCTAGGACCACGAGGAACTCGAGTTGCAGCTGAAGGGAACTCCACTGGCTCTGAAAGTGTGCCTTGACTGACGACAACATCATAGACGCTAGTAGCAGCAGCATGTGGACTAAATGGCTGAGTCAGAGGGTAAGCACCTGGGCTGAATGGCTGTGCAGAAGCCGAGAGTTTGCTTCCATTTGTCTCAACAGCTTTCTCCATGTTACTTGAGCATAAAATCTCTTCAGTGTCTGGGCTGCAATTAGCCAACTTGGATCCAGTTACATGATCTGTGTCGTTGTTGTTGTCTCTCGCCATATCTTCATGATTTGGTAATGATTCATCTACAGCTACTGTGTCCCCTCCATCCTGCTGTCCTGTCTCTTGGGGACTGAGGCACATCTCGTTATCAGTTTTCTCTTCACTTAATTCCTCTACTTTCTCCAGTAAGGGCTTTAGAACTGTACCTGGCGCAGCTGCTGCTACTTCTTTGTACGACAAAGATTTTGAAGCTAATGCTGTAAGAGTGGCAGGGCGCGGGGAAGCTTTGGAAGCATAAGTAACATTTTTGGTCCCTGAAATCTTTGCAGGCACTTGAATCAAATCATCCGTGACATTTGCCTTAAATGCAACCTTATGTCCCTGCGAAGTTGCCTCCTTTCTATAACTACTGTCATCATGGCTGGGGTTAGCAGAATGAATCTTTAACTTGGCAAGATCCGGACGCTTTCGGTTGTACTTCTTACTGGCTGCATTTCCTGACCGTCCCTTTGGTGTAGCTTCCTGCCATCCTTCTTCTGATGTTACTTCATGGTCAATTTCTTCAGGAAGCGAACGATCATGTCTGGCTTTTGTCTCCTTTAATGGTTCTTGGGAGGGTATGTAATCCACTTTATTCACTTCTCTGCTACTTTCCTCCAATACAGCACTATTTTCAGTTGTTCCGCTATTGAAAATGTCAGAATTTTCTTTTGGTTGTTCAATACGGATTTTTTCGCCAATCGGAGCAGCCTAAGAGATCACACGACAAAAGAAAGGAGATCAATGAGTATAAAGGCATACTTGGATCATTCTCAAGTCAGCGAACATGGAAGAACATAAATGGATGCATGTTTCCGTTTTATGTATGAAACATGAAGTTCAGTACTCGTTTTATTTCTATGGGAAATTAGGAGTAATAGTCTTTTGTACAAATAACTTACTATATAGATAAAACATGGTGCATCTCTTAAAATGGAGAACATGGAGCTTAAAATTGCAGTTTTCAACTTTCTAATTTCCTTTTCAAAATGCAGACACTAATACCTTTGAACGACGCTTCCTCTGAGCATCTGCAGCCTTTGATGCCTGATCAGGACTTATATAGTCAAGAAGATCTGACACACTGCAGAACAAGGTTAGGGGTTTTGGTATGCAGGGGGTGCAATACCATGTAATATGGAAAGGCCATGTCAATACCTCAAGTGACCCTTGCTGGCAATGGATGCATCTGGTTTCGGGGTCCCATTACGTGCTGCTTCTTGTTGCTCCAAGGCTTTTGACTCAAAATATTCAAGCCAAGCAGCAGCATCCTGAAGAAAATACGTTATATTAGATCCATATTATCATAATCTCTGGAAAGTGAAAAAAGGAATGGTTAGTAATTTGCAGTTAGTATGATCATCAGCGAATGTATTTCAACAAGCATCTCCCATTTAAAATCCATGTCACAATCCGACAGAAACCTGTTCTAATTTCCAAAAAGTAGAAGGTAAAGTTCCATGGCCGGAATCTTAATTCATGAACATACATGAGATTTATGGTATTCAGGATCATAACCGCATGGCCCACATCATTTTTAAATTCAATCTGATGAAACGCTTTCCTTATATTCTATCATAAATAAAAAACATAAAAAATGATAACGGAGATTGCATGTGCAAAATCATAGCAAAAACAATTTTACAAAATGGCAAAAACGTGTTGGTCTTTTTGTGAACCTGAGTTCGAAGATCCTCTGCTCCAAGTTTAGTTTGGAGAATTTGCAGTGTAGTTTGCTCATGTTGAACACTGAGGGTGTACGCTTCCATCAAAGAAAGAGCTATGGCTATGGCATGATAGCTAGCAGCAGTCTGTCACATACAGCCAGAGTCAGCTTAATTCTAGGGTCTATTTGTTTTTCCAGTAATGATGGACATTATATCTCATGCATCTAACAAACTTATAACACTGCTTGTCACACTGAAGAAATTTGCATGAAATATCTTACAATTCTTACATATGCATCTGCTTTCATTTGACATAGAAACAGTAGAGACGGACCTGTATGTGATCTGCTCCTAGTAACCTTTGGTTGCACTTGAGGGCTTCGTGCAGATATCTGAGAGCAACGTGAACATTTCCCATACCCTCCTCCATCATGGCAATGTTTATGTAAGTAGCTGCCGTGTTTGGGTGAGATAGCCCGCAAGTAAAATGCAGCAGATACAGTGCACGATTGACATATCTGCCAAGTAGATGAATAAATACCGGTAAGAAAAAATTGCCAAAAACAACAGAACTGATTGTTTACAAGGTAAGAAATCATTATCTTATTTTGAAGTATGATTTCATTCAAGCATAGCATGTCATGACTAAAAGAAACTTTGAATCTATGCAATGCAGCATAACATTCATGACGAAACACGCAATTGATATCAAAATTCTAAACGATCCTAAATCTATATAAACAAAACTAGAATATCTTTTGCAAATTGACTTCTGTAGAATCATGGCTTAAAGTCAAAACACAGTTAGTAGCCTAAAACTTACTTCAGAGCCAATTCAATGTGTTGGAGACGATAATAAAACACAGATAAGTCCCCATAGCTCTTCATTGTATCTGGATGATCAAGCCCCAGCTCCCTCTCATTGATATCTAAAGCCTTCTGCTGATATATAGTTGCCTATACAAAAACATTTTAACATTAGGAACTTGGACAGTCACAAAATATGATACAAATAAAGGCATGGTATGATATTTGAAACTGTAAAGTTTCTTCACAAAATCTCCTCCAGAGCATTCTCAAAAGGAAAAGGGAAACCAACAGCATAGCATTCACTTCTTCCTAGTCAAATCCATGCGCATGCAAAGGCCATGTTCTCATTTATTAGCATGGACTATACTGCAAAGCTTGATGTTTCAGGCTTCAGCAGGCAAATTCCATAATCCAAGGATTTTATGGGCCATCTCTGACCTTTCAATAGAATTTGTTTCGAATTTCTTACCCAAAGACAAGTTATAGCACAATCTTTAATGCACTATACATGAGCTATATTCATCAGAGGAAAGCATATAAGAGAGAGAGAGAGAGGGGCTAGTCTTGCCTGATTAAAATCTCCAGTGTGATACAGAACAACAGCCAGAAGACTGTAAGCACTTGCAGTCATACGATGATAAGGGCCACAAACAGCAATCATCTTTGCCAGAGCCTTTGGTTTCAATTCAAACACCTTCTCAATATCAAGTCATGAAAAACTATGTAAATAAATAATATTTAACACAGGCTTACATTACCTTTGTTCCATAATTAACAGCATCTTCTAGCTTTCCTTTGTCTAGAGCAATCTTTGAGGATTCCAGTAGAGTTCGTCCATCAGCAGAAGAGCAGCCTACATGCTGTGAAGTATGAAATGAAACAAATTATTACTGGAAATCCGACCAATTAATGAAACATATAACTCTTCCAAGAATATTTTGCTCCCACCTTGCAGACTGGCAGTATACTGATGACATCAAACTTGGTAAATGGAGACGAGCTTTCCAAATCATAGTCCTTAGGGATGAGTTCTAATCCAACCTGAAAAAGAAGACTCTGATGAGTCTGATCAGATTGCAATGGTTAACAAACTAATAAGACAGTACCTTGTGACAAAGTCCCCTGAGAATTGATAACTTCCTCAAATATTGGAATTCGTCTTTCAGCTTCCAACCATATCTTTTCTCCAAAAATGTTCGCAGCCATTCTAATTTGAGATTTTGATGACTGGAATCGTTACTTTCACCATTGCAAGATCCAAGCAAGAAATTTAAGGCTGTTGCTATAGCAGTAGACATGTTATCCACACACTGTACAGAACCGATGACAGCTCGAAGTACATGCTTAAAAGCTCGAGTAACCATTTCATGTATACAAAGCGACTGGATATGAGGAAGCTTATCTGCAAGTTCAACCTGTTTCAAGCACTCAGCATAATTATAACTGCAGGATAAGCACAATGAAAAACATAAAAGTAAAGACTAAGGGATATTTTCACCCACCACACGACCTAAAGAATGCATCTGTAATCCTCTAAGATGCATAAAGTCAGTCAGTGTACGACCATCCACTGGAGATAGTTCAAGTGACGCAAAGTCAGCGACCTGAGTATACAACAGGTTAACAAAAAAGACTGGAACCAAAAACACAAAATCATTTGAATATAATTTAAGCCATCAGTGAAACAATACCAGTTTGGGCAAAGCCACATCATCATAGTACTCATGTGCCATCTTGACCAGCTCATCTGCCGACTGGATGTTGAAGCAATAAATCACATACACATATTTCATAGGATGCCGTCTAATGAAAAAGTGGATCTCTCAACACAAACGCATAATCGTATATACACTTATAGAAAGACAATTATTATCTGAATCAGGTGAAACTTATTACATCAAAGTAAATTGATTAATCATATTTTGGGAGCAGTCAGAATCATCTTATAAGTCATGCCACAATTAAGTTATTCACTGTCGTTCAAACATCTTAAAAGTGTGATAGAAGCTATTACCTTTATGTGAAGTCCAACCCCAGTTTCCTTCAAGCATAATAAGGCATCTTGAGGAACATATTTCAGCAATTCGCAGTTAGGATCACGGTTTTTTACTTCTTCAATGTTGTTTTCCATGCTAAGGCTGCTAGATTCAGCATCACTGCCTTCATCCTTAATACTTATAGTCCTTTTTTCCCTCCTTTTTAGCATCTTAAATTGTTTCCCAAGCCCTTTAACCACCGGCTCAACCTTTGTATCATCCTTACGAGTTGAAGAATTGTTTTCAGCTGGTGTTTCTTGTTTCTGAAGATGCTGCACCCAGCAAGAGCCAAGTTCCCAGCGGATACAGCCTTTTCCTATTGCAGGATTATTCTCTAGTGTTGTTATACTGTCTTTAATTACTTTGTGGATCAGATTTTCAAACGTTCTAACATCTGCCAAGTCAGACTCAGGATTTTGGGGTCCAACATATGATTCATCACGTGGTGAATGGAGCATTACCCTTAAGCTGTAAACATCCCTTGGTTAGTATTTTTTTATATAAGCACATAACTGGCTGAGACACATCAAATTGTCGAAAGTAGGTGTGGCCATAAGCATGATAACTGTAAAGTAGAATTAATAAGGAAGGCAAGTCAAATATCTGTATCTTGAGACATTAATACAACACTCAACTCAAGACATGCTTATAATAAATCCAGCAAGCAAGCTCATCTATTTCTGAACCGAAGATGTATTTAATAAAAAATCACAACAAAGGTAAAACTTGATGATGATACTCCTGGTAAATTTCAAATTATTAATAGTTATTGAAAAGGCCTGATATAACATGGTGGAACCACAAAGATACCCTTTATACATTCACATATCACATTCTATTTCTCTAGTAAAGGCAGTTAGATCATTCATGGCATCACTTATGTAGAGGGGAAAGAAGTACAAAACCTGTTAATAGTTATTGAAAAGCCCTTATATAACATGGTGGAACCACAAAGGTACCCTTTATACATTCGCATATCACAGTCTATTTCTCTAGTAAAGGCAGTTAGATCATTCATGGAATCACCTATGTTGAGTAGAAAGAAGTACAAAAACCTGTTAATATTGAGTGCATTGGCTCCCCCATCTGGTTCATCCTTAATGTCAATATCTTGCGGAAGATTCTTTCCCCGTTTTACATCTCCAACAATCTTCACTGTAGCTGTATAGCCACAGTGTCTTACAACAACGACACCTAAAGAAGAAGTATCCTGCAAATAACAGAACTTTGTCACTCAAGCAGGTAATAAGTACGATACAGGCAAAGAGGAGAACATATAGTTTCCATAGGCTGATTTCCAATGGCGTTTTGTGGTAAGAGAGAGAAGATGCAGTAAAACATATATATATATTTAACAAATAAATAAATACTGAATGTTTCAATGTACGGGGAAGATGCAAGCTCTTCTCTGACTTCCCTATAGTGGAAGCAGTGTTGATTTCAGAACTCAGATGGACTAATGTTGAGTGCAGCTAAATATTAACCAGATTACATCATGGGATTGACTCATGATGGCCTTAATAAGTAGACTCTAAGTTATAGAGCAATAAATATGGCTAGATATACTTGGTGATGGTTTTTGATATTTGGTTATATCTTTGATAGTGTGAAATGCATTTAAGGAAGTTGTAGAAAGATGCAAAAAAAGGTTGAAAATGAAGGACATTATGATATATGATTTGCAATGCAGCGCGCAAGATGTATAATGAGAGTAGAAGTAGAAGTAACTCACATGTACAACTACACTTTCATCAGCAGTTACTCCTTTTAGGAGATTTCTCCGAGAAACCTCGTCAGTTGATTCACTGAGGGTTTTACGGTTGATAATCTTTGGTTCCCGTTTCAAGCCTGTGTCTGCTTCATCTCTTTTAACTGTAATGAACAAGTCCCCAACCCGATTCTCATACACAACTGCACCTGGAGCAGATTTTGAGATAGCTGGAGCAGTCGAAGCTATCACATTCTGTATGGATGAAACAGCTTTAAAAATGGAAACATCCAGGAAAAGATTATGAACCAAAAATGCTTTTCTATCTCGAATCACTCTCTCTTCTTCAGTTTTGCAAGGCAGGCTAGCCAATATTGCTAAGTCTGTTGCCCATGGTCGGTAATCATATTCTCCTGATCTTCCTTGGCCCCCACCATCTCCTCCCCATTTCTCATCCTCAGCTGGGAGGGGTACATAATGATTTGCTGAATCAATAATTGAAGCAGGAGCAAGCCAGGTGTTGGCACGGAAGCCATATGGAAGGTTACCAAACTGATAGACACATCAAAACAACTTAATGGTTTTTCTCCAAAGTTATACCAATTTACTTAATAACAATTAAAACTAAACAAAAACCTCACCTTATTGTGTTCAACAAAAGCTTTCATCAATAATGCGTATGCCTGCAAATAAATAACAGATTCATTGTCCAGTTCAAAAAATTAGCACATTGATGGATATTCTTAACTGTTTTAATTATCAGTTATCTATTTGCATGTTCTTATTATATTCACACAATGTTTATAGCCAAAAATGAAGAATTTAACATGCACTGACATCTTCCACATTTCGAAAGTACTTATAACCGACTAACTAAACAAATGATATCACATTTGCATGCTTGCTTCTTCCTCTGCAACTGTTTACCCAAATATATTTGCAATCACTGATTGAGAATTTGAAACAATAGGATAGATCATAACTCAGCACACAGGTAAAATTGGAATTTGGGATGACAAGATCAGATGAGAATCACTCACATTGAGAAAAGCTTGACTCTGCTGCTGCAGAAGATCCACCAGAGAATGGCTCTGCATAAATTGTTTGCCCACAGTGTAGAAACCTTTTCTTGATGCAACCACTTGTACTGTCTTCCCATTGCATATCTTTATCTGCACATCATGCATCATATGTTCATCAGTTCTGCAGATGCAGCACAACTTTCCAACGAAATAATCACCACTAAAAGGTTGTTTTTGCCCATGGATTTCTTTGAAAACCATACTGAAGCAGTAAAGGTGTCATACAAGCTCTTCCTATTTTATCGAAAATGAACTACTTCAAGCATTCATCCATAACATATCGGAGGAAGAAAGACATGATTCATCAGTGCCAGCGTAAACAAACAAATCACACAGAGAAATTTGCATAAAGAAACATAAACCACACCTGCATTTCGAAATAATCGCCTTCTCTTCGCGTCGTTCCGTCTTTACTATCCACTCTTTTCAGCTCTGCAAATCACAAAGCACAACGAATAAACCAATTGCAAAAATGAATTCCAAAACAGAACTTCGAGAGAACAGAGAAATAAACGCACGAAGGATGGGCGGAGTGAGGTGCGAGAAAGAGAAGAACTCATAGAAATCCGATAGCTTCGGAATCGGGTGGATCGCCGCCATATCAAAACTCGAAGATATCGCCGGAGCATCGGAAGACCTCGATTCTCCATCCGACGCCGCCGCCGCAATCGCGCTCGCCGGAACTTTGCTCTTCCTCGGACGTGTTTCCGTACCTCCGCCGGCCTTCGGTTTGGAGAAGCGTGTGGTGCACGCGACAATGTCAAGAAGTCTGCGCACGTGGGCCACCGCACGTGACTCGTCTCCGTAGTCCTCTGCATTGACAGCAGTGTCATTTTTGTTAATAAATCCAACTGTTTGGGCTAACTTCAAGAAAATATATATTCATTTAAGAAAATAAAATAAATTGCGTGTACGATACTATGACAATTATATCAAAGGCGCAATTCTTCAAAACACGTTTTTCGTTCCTTCACATTAATGTCGTAAGCTATAATTATTACTTAGATACACTAATAATAATAATAATAATAATAATAAAAATAATAATAAAATGTTCATCGTGGAGCACGTGTAAACATACGAAACCTAGTCGTGCTATTAAGCAATAAGTAGTAATATAATTTACACATTTTATTGTATGAATTGTATTGCAATTAATTCCCATAATTTTAATTTCCCTAAGATTTGTTTGTCTAGTTTTCAATAAAACCACAAGTCCCCTATTTTTTGGAAAATGACAAGTTGACCACCAGAAGTTAATATAATCCATATTGTGTGACCAACACAATCACGAAAAACTAATAATATATACCTATTGGATTCATTTGTTTAGTGTTTTAGTTTGAGATATTTTTTTTTTAGTGAAGTATGAAAATTTATATAAATAATATAAAAAAGTATTTTGTATTGAATTATTAATTTTAATAAAAAATATATATAAAATTGTATAAATGAAAATTTTAGTTGGTGAACAAACCAAACAAAATAAGAAACAAACTACTACTAAATAATAATAATAATAATTATAATAATAGTGTATCAATTACTCCGTATAAATTTGAATATAAATAGTGAATTTATAGTAAATAGGTTTTAGAAGTTATGATTTTTTTTGGGGAAGTCATAATTAAATAGTTGATGCATTAAAAAATAGTCAAATGGCTAACACATAAGTATATGGACATTTTCACATGGTTTGCATGAGCATTTCAAATCTCACAAGATATGTGGTAAAATAAAAATTATTTATTTATTTATTTTATGAACAAATGAAATAATCAATGTATGAAAAAATAAAAATAAAAATAAAAATTAGCCCTGTATATAAACAAAATGCCATGCCCAATAAAAGGGATCAAAATATAAATTAATAGAGTAAATTGTGTTTATATGGGCAGATAGGTTTTAATTAGTATAAATGTATGAAAGTCTTTCATGTCAATTTTGAGTTTGTTTGATTATAGTTTGAAATTGATTTTCATTTTTATTTAAATCTAAAAAATAATATAATACTATAAGAATTATTAGTGATATTTTTTATTTGAATAAAAAAACAAACAAACCCTTTAAGATTCACCTCTTTATAATGCATAAAATTCTGTGTACATTAAATGAATAACAATTATATAAGAACGATTTTTGTATTTACCTCCATATCTTATTACTTATGCAATAAAATTTAGTTTTTATAATAATAATAATAAGTTGTTGGAGGAATAAATTGTTGATTGACGCAATGATGACGAGTAAAACAAATGAGGGAAAAAGCGGGGGTTGTACTTGGTGCAGCGAAATGTGTACCTACCTTCAACCATTTTGAGCAAAGATGGCTTCAGACCAACAACCTCTACTCTGTCATTCAATTTCTGTCCCTTAACCTGTCGAAACCAACCAACAATTGATTCATTACAACTAATTAATTAAATAAATTTTAGCAAGGATGAAGATGGAATTAACGAACGTCGAACCTCATGGGAGAGAGAGTAGTCTGTGAAATGGCATGTCTGGACGTTGACAGCCAGTAGTTTCTTCACATCGAGAATCTTGTCAGTAGAAATGCCCTTCGGGACAGGACAGAGATATATAATCATATGAATTAATTAATTAATCAAATTGAAGAAGAAGAAGACGACGACGACATTGTAATTGAGGATTGAGATTAATCATAAATATAATCGTCAGTCATTGTAAGAACTACTACTGTATTAGTATAAAACTGTAGTTGTACTGTATTGGAAATGGTGCGGCTTTGATGTGTTGTACTTTGTACGTACGTACCTTGACAACCACCTGCGTTTCGTAAGGAGTCAATACAGTGATGTCGATAACGCTTGGTACAACTGCACAAAGCACACCGCCATTAACGAACGAACTCATCACTCTTCCATCATCGTCATATTATTATTATTATTATTATTATTATTAATGAATTTAATTTAATTTAATTCTAACCTTTCTCTTCCTTCTTCTTCTTGTCTGTCTTGGATTTGCTTCCCTTTCCTCTGCTGGACGACCTCGGCGCCATTGTTGTTCTTGTCAGATTCAGACACGGATATACATATGCAGATATAGAAATAGATAGATACAGATATGTTTGATTAGATATGTGTTTTTGGTTGTAAGGAAATTGAAGAGAGCGAGAGTGAGGAAGTGTGTTTTAGGGCAAAGAGGAGTGAGAGAGAGAAGGGAGAAAGTGAAGGGAAATCTTAGGTGAGAGAGAGGTCTGTGAATGAAGATAGGATAAGGGGCTGTTTGGATTTCCCGATTAAATTGTGGCCTCTCCTTCTGATTATCCACAAGCCACAAGCTCACAACCAGACACGCCACTCGCCCCCCTCGCCCCCTCCATTTTTCTTTTAAGTTAATTTAATTTCCATGTAATAATAAAATTAAAATTAAATATATATAAAAATGTAGAACGAAACGAAACATGTGAAAAGGGCCAAACTAAACCACGGCTATATACGCTTTGCAAGAACCGACCGTTGCCTTATTGTCACGTGGCGGGCGGGGATGGGGTCGTCTTCCACCTCGTTTTATTTGGCGTCTGTAGGTCCTGGGCGGTTTTGGGAGTGGTTTTGGGCGGGGACGGGAGCGGGAGTCCGGGCCGATCTGCACCGTTGGTGGGGACGGCCAGGATCGATTTCTCCGTCCCATGAATCACGACGCCGTGACAGGGTTTCGGTTCGACTTTATTATGGTTTGGTAAATAACTCCAACACTGCCTCAGTAACTGCATCATTGGTTTTTTACAATTTCTGTTTTCATTTTAAAGTTCCACCAATAGTTGGTTGGAAGATTCTAAGCTACATTCAATTTTATTTATTAATTCTTCACATTATATATATATATATATCTTAAACAATAATGTTGGAATTTTAATTTTTTTTTTTTATATATAATAGAAGGAAGTTATGAATATACGAAAGAATAATTTGAGCATTTTTGCTTATATATAATTAAGTTACACAAATAAAATAAAAGTATTGTGAACTCAACTTATTCAAACATTGTAGACAGTTTTTGTATAGACATAAAAGTTAAAAATCGAAGAAAATCTAATTTGAATAGAGACAAATAAGAGTTTATTTATTGCTAACTACCGATCGATCGCAGACGACGACAAACGGTAGATAGATAACGCTTAATTTCGTAAGTTCATAACTCGACCGTTTGACAGTTTTCTAACGACAAACTCACCGATAAACTGTATTTTATTTATTTATTATAAACTAAGCTCATAACTCGATCGTGTGACAGTTTTCTAACGACAAACTCACCGATAAACGATATTTATTTATTAAATATATATGATGAGGGATATATATGACGTGACGGAACCAGTCGTAAAAATTCGGGGAGACAAAATTGATTTTTTTTTATCGATTCAATGTTATTTTTTTTATTCATAGTACACCCTAACAAAAAAAAAAAATTAAATGTTTTAAAAAAAATTCTATAAAATTTAGTACTTTTTTTACTACAAAAAATAAAATTTAAACAGTAAAAGTAAAAATCAACAAACAGATAAAATTTTTATAATTTTTTACATTACAAAAAATTAGGAGAAACAAATTACTATAAAATATATAATTTTATTATTTTTTACATAAAAAAAAATACATATATTTTGAGGGTTGAGTGGTCAACTGACCCTTAGGCCATCCACAACACAGAAACCCATCCAGGGTTTCTTCCCATTCTCTTTCATGTGCCACGTCAGTTTCTCTCTCCGCCACGTCACGAAGAACTCCAACTATATTTTACATTCACATCAAAGAACCCTTTAAAATCTTTACTTTTTCCACCTCATTAAATATTTTATCTATTTATAAAATAAACTTATATTTTTTCATTATATTTTATTCTTATAATATTTAATTAAAATAAAATAATTATTTAGCATAAATAAATAAAATAAATAAAAATAATAATTCCACACCCACATACTAATTAAAAATTCAAACTTAAATTTAATAAAAAATACATAATATTACAATATATTTTTCAAATAAATTAATTAGTCGATTGACCAAATTTCTCCCAAATATTATAAATATATTATAAATATTATTTTTAATATTTATTGAATAAAAAAGTGGACCATGGCCCACAAAAATTGGAAGAAACGGTACACTCGCAATGTACCGTTCCTTATGTTAATTGGTGTTTTAATTTTTTTTTTTATTTAATAAATGATGACGTGGGAGGCGCTTCTCAACAAGCGTCTCCCGTTGTGGATGCCCTTAGACCATCTCCAACCCATAACTCTATTTTTGCAGAGTACATTTCTCAATTTTTGCAGGGTTTGCTACAGTAACTCATCTCCAATCAATACCCTTGCATGGTTAAAAAATATTCTCTTTATATTTTATTTTATATAATTTTTAAAATTACAAATAAAATTTAATATTTTATTATTTTTTTACATTTAAGTTATAGGAATATTTTTAACTAATATTTTAAATATTATACTGATAAATTATATTTATTAATATTTTAATGTATATTTAAATTAAATCATAAAAATATTAATATTATTAAAAATATAAATATAGATTAAAAAAAAAGCAATATTATTGGATTAAACATAATTAGTACAACATAACTAATCGGTAGAGTTACTATACTCTTCTCATATATGTTCAATTAAAGCATCGCGTAGTTCAAAATATGCTTCTCTACTTCTAATTTGAACCTATCGCTCAAGAAATTGATGATAGCGTTCTTAATCCGTAGTCATTTCTACCGTTGCGATTGGCGCTTCTCGATATTATGATATTGGAGCATTAAGATCACGTTCTTCCTCTGTTATCATATTATGCATGATAATGCATGCAGACATTATATTATGCAAAATATTTTTCAGCCAAAAGCAACATGGTCCTTTGATGATTGTCCAACGTGCTTGTAAAACTTCAAATGGGCGCTATTCATCTTTCCTGCATGATTCTTGTTTCTGGGCAAATAATTTTTTTTTCGGACCACGCGGATTGCTAATAGTTTGCACGAGAGTGGCCCATTTAGGATAGATTCCATCAGGTAAATAATAACCCATTTCATATTGCTTTCCTTGGATATAATAACGTGCGGGGGTGCAACACCTAAAGTAAGATCTCTAAACAATGTTGATGAGTTTAAAACATTAATATCATTATTGGTTCCAGGCAAACCAAAATATCCATGTCAAATCCAAAGACCGTAATCTGCTACAGCTTCGAGGATTATTGATGGCTTTCCACTACGACATGCATATTGGCATGCCCGTTGGACAATTTTTCTATTCTCAATGCATGCAATCCAAACTACCCAGCATACCTGAAAAACCACGACTTTTAACGATATGGAGCAATCTTTGAATATCATTCTCATTGGGAGTTCTGAGATAACATTATGAAAATATCTCAACGACTGCACGATAAAATCTTTTAACACATTCAATTAATTATAAATTTTAATAAATATTAAATAAATAAATAATTTACTATAAATATTAATTACAAAATTATAATAAAAATAATAAAATTAAAAGTAACAAAAATAAAATAAAATAAAATATATAAAATATAAGCTTAAAACAAAATAAAATAAAATAAAATATAAAAATATAAACAAAATAAAAAAATTAATGCAATTTTTTATTTTGTTGATGATATTTAAAAAATTAAAAATTAAATAAATATAAAAAAGAAATAGATAACTTCATAAATAAATAGATAATATTAAAAAAAAATAAATAACTATATAAATAAATATATAACTTTATAAATAAATAAATAATTATATTAAAAAAAAAAAGAAAAAAATGTACAGTACTCTGCGGGATTCGCTGATTCTAACGGATGAATTCTGCAAAAGTGCAAGATGGATTGGAGCAATTTTTTTCTCCACATTCTACAAAAATAGAGAAAAACCTCCTCGATTGGAGATGGTGTTAGCCCCGTGTAGTTCCACGCTGTATATATATATATATATATATATATATGTAGATAGCAAATGTGGAATTAAAGAAGGAGAGTGGGTGGGTTATGTTGGGTCCTATAGGCGCATTTCTTTCTCTGAAATGTCAAGGCACGTTACATGTGCAAACATAAATTGAACAGTACAACGTCACGCTACACAAATTACATACACACTAGACTCAGGTTTTATTTTTATTATTATTATTATTATTATTTCATTGTCGATATAATATTTTTCCATAATGGAGCAACAGAAGTAGACATGGCTTTTTTGATTGACTTTAGTTACTTTCAATTTATTTAAGAGATGAAACTTATGTAGTGGTATACGGGTTTTATGTCTTTCTACCAATAATAAAGAGTTACATCATTATTATTATTTTTTAATATCATTTTATTCAATATATAATTTTGAATTAATGGACAAGGTGTTCATCAATTTGTTAAATATTTTATTTTTACATTTAAAAAATCATCGTTGGATTAAAGTGAGTAGAGTTTTGTTTTCTGATTAATTATGTTATTTTTGTTATATAATTTTTCTAATAGAACCACATATTTTATATATCTCTCTATGAACAACTTTACTTTTACTACTAGTTGATTATTATATTCATTTTTGAGTTCTTGAAGATATCTATATCTCTCCTCTTTTTTCCTTATTAGCTAAAGATAGCAATATATTATGCATTTATCTAATAAATGTAACAAAATGGTTCTTAAAATTTTAGTTTGCATATATTTTAAATTAAATGCATCATGCATGCATACTACTTACCATAATGTACATAACCGAGCTATTGCATTAAAATATGATAGATTTTTAATATATTCAAAATCAAATTGTGTTTTAGGTGATTGATTTTTACTAAAAAAAAAATGTGATGTTAATGGTACACTAACAACTTTGAAACATATTAAACAGCTTAATCATTTTTTCACATAAGATGACTGATTTTAAAATAAAATAATTTTTTTTCCTATTTCTCTTTATATATATATATATGCCTAAAATCACTTTTACATCACCTAAAAGATTTATATAAAATTGATCACTCAAACATTTATCAATCTTATTATTTTATTTAAATCAAACTGATTAACATTATATCATCTACATAAAAAAAATTTACCAATGTCTAAGTGATTGTTTTAGGCCATAAAGAGATTTTTCAACAAACACACAAAATCAAGTTATTGACATCGGGTTTTTTCATATAAATCATTTCATCCAAGCCACCATGCAAGAAAAGCAATTTTAACATATAGTTGT